ATTAACCACCACTTCCTATTTCCTCACATGACCTCCCAAAATAACTGGTTCAGGAGCAAGAAAAGTCCACGCGCTCCATTTTGAATGAGTGCCAAATAAGAGGTTGCAAAAAATTAAAGCTCATCTTCGCGTTTCACAGGAACTACTTCCCTATCAATGATGCTGACATTCCAAGTGACCTACTTTATGCTGGCTGTGTGGATTTATGAAAGTCCAGTGATGTTCAGCATCCTCAGTCCAGTACTGGTGGTGGGAGCAGCCACTGGTTTGGTAGTAGGGAACCTACTTGGTTTAATCTCAGGCTTCCAGGTATGTAATATCATGAGCCAAAAATGGGGTTTCTCAAAAGTTTTGCAGAAGAGATCATCTCCATCATACAAGCCATAAAAATATGAGGGGGAAACAGCACAAAGTTGTGCATAACTTTCAGCTCATCCCCTCCATCTTGGCATTTCAAAATAATGCAAATCTTTTCAAAAGATGTCCAGAAACAATAAGTGTTGAGACAAGTCCATCTTTGAGAATTGGAAGAACAAAAGTTTGCATATTCTGGGGATGTTACTGGAACCTTATTTAGCATTCTTTTCAAAACTTATCTCCACAAACAGTAAAATCTTACTACATTATATGATCCCATGGGGACCAAGAAATTTTTTTTTATTACCAAGAAGTTCAAAAAACTTTGCAGCTCTTGGACATAAGGGACCTGAAAAATGAATTCACTTCAGACAATAATTTGTACTAAATTCTGTTGCTACATAATATACAGGGGATCTCATCAGTAGATATACAACATCCATAATACTGTATGTATATCCTCATTTATTATTGATTCACTTTGCAAAGAGAAATTGTAAATTCATTATTATTGCCACCCAGAAATGATTAAAACCATGCTGCACCCTGCTGATAACTCTTGGAACTTTGTGGAACTTCATGCCTCAGATCTTTCAAAGTTCTTTTGCTTCTCATGATCATCAAGAAAGATATGCAAAATTTACAATAAATTATAGAGTATTTTTTGAGTTCTCAACCATACTTCTATAAAGGGGTTTAAAATTTCTTAGTTCCACATTTAAATCTGATGAAAATGGGTTCAACCTTTCCCAAGCATGCACAAATTAATTGCTGAAGATAACCAATACATTTCAACTGGCTGCTTAACAGGGAAACCCTGATTTTGTTGACAGTCTTCAAGACAAACCCTTGTAGAAAGGAAGCTATTAAACAATGTGACCTGCAGGTTCTCCTTGGACCCAAATTGCCAATCTTGGGCATGGCAGCTTTTTCATCAGGAGTCCTTAGGAGGCCAGTTGCCCTTACCATCATGATTGCTGAGCTCATCAACAATTTCTACTTTGTTCCCATATTGCTGCTGACCACCATTTCTGCCATGATGATTGGCAACCTCTTCAACCAGGTGAACATTAGTGGAAAGCAATGAAATGCTTTCATATGAAAAAATAAATAAATAAAAACTATTAAAATCCTAGTGTATGAACATGCTTGCATGTAATCACATGCAGATTCCAGTGGTTTACTCTCAAAATCAGTTTAATAGCATTGAACTAAAATTCAGGTTTTGACTTTAACCCACAGGCTCTCATCAAAGCAACCATGGAGTACAAAGGGATGCCAGTGCTGGATTGGTCCCCCCCTGGATATGCCTATTTTGTCAAATGCAAAAACATAATGTCAACCTCTGTCACTGCTTTCCAGCCAAATGAAAATGCTGGTTATGTTTTTGACACCATCAGGAACAACCCAAGGGAAACATACCCAGTAGTGGTTAGTGTTGGAATCTCTGCATATAGATACATAGTGCAATTATTTTGTCTCCAATGGCCTTGAACACTTAATTCTTGTATAGGAACCATATTATGGCAGTGCAAGAGGGAGTGCAGGCAGAGACTACAGCAGAGAGGACAAGATGAAGTCCTCAAGCACTTCACCAATGTCAAGCATTTTGGAGCAGTATGAGACCTTTGGGAGATTGGCAGGCATTATAAGCAGGGACTCCTTATTGGTTATCCTCAAGATGCATGGGTACAAGAATGAACCCATCATTCCTTGGATGGTTTTTGCAAGGTTCCATCCAAACTATTTCTCTGTTGATGTAAGTTTCTGAATTCTATGAAACAAAGTGAGAGAAATGACAGCAACCTATTTCATGTGAGACCTATTCTTGCAGACCATTATTCAATCAGCTGAGGACAGGAGTCAGACCATCAACCTGAGGCAGTATATGGACCCATCTCCAATGACATTGACCCCAGTAAGTGTGTTTAAAAGATAGATACAGATGGTACCTTGCAATTTGATCCTAATCCATTTGGTGGACTACGGTTGAATTGCAAGACACTTTGTAAAATTAAGAAATATGAGCACAAAATGCAATCAAAAAGTGGCTAACGCTGGTAAAATTCTGGGGCAGAGGTTGAACTGCAAGTCAACTAGCTCCCTGCAAATTTGAATGTCAAATTGTGGGATGATCAAATTGTAGGAGGTCAAGTTGGATGGTATCACCTGTATTTCCTGCTTTTGAATAACAGTTGGACCTCTTAAGAGTCAAATTCCAAGGGATCAGCATCAAAATTTGACTCGGGGAAACTACCACTTTTGCCTTGAAAAGATGGGAATTTGAAATAAGTGATTTTTCTTGGCCCAAAACTGCCTTATAATAGAAGTTTAGAGGATGCTGAACCAGGATGCATGGGTTTACTTCTCCAATTTTTTCTTACACTTCCAACTTACAAAAAGCCATTGTTACATTTTTATTGCTTTTACTCTTCCTTGAATCATCACAATAATGCCTCTAAAAAATGTAAGTGAATTTCAGGAGAAAACCTTTCACTCTGGGAGGCTTTTGGTAAATTGTTCCCAAGGGAATTCAGAAGATAATTTTGCTCAAGGAGGTTTGAATTATTTAGGTTCAACTGTGCTTTCACTGTAAAGGTGAAGCACAGTGAATCACAGCATGAAAAAACTGATATGCCTCAAGGTGAGCTTTCTTATGATCACCTTTAATTGAATTAAAATAACTGTGCCTTGCATCAAGTATATATTAGAAAGGGATTTGTGTAAAATTAATTAATTTAATCAAGACAAGTTGAAGATCTCAACTTCATCAGAAGGGAGAATTTTATTGGGCAATAAAATGCAAAAACTTGAATCATTTTTGCTTTCACTGATTTGAATAAAAATATCAGAAGTATTAACTCAAAATTCTGACTCGAATATTTAATGAAAAGCCTTATGCAAAGACAAAATTCTTTTCAGATAGGAACAACTCACAACTTGATGGAAAATTTCAATAAGGACCTCTAAATTGGGAATACTAAAAAAAATTAGCACTGAAGCACTTTCTCGAATGATGAGCAAAATTTTCAAACCTTTTTACAGGAGCACTCCATGAACAGAGCCCACGTGCTCATCCGGTCCTTTGGCACCAGAGCAATCCCCATAGTCAACGAAGAATATCAGGTAACGAATCCCATTCTCAAAAACTTCACACATCGAGTTCACAGCAGAAATATCTTTTTTTCTTTTCTTCTTCAGGTAGTTGGAATGATCACCAGAGCAGATGTGGCACGGTACAAAACCTGGAACTTTTTCTGCAAATACGGAGCTTACAAGGTTCCATTGGCCAGAGACGACTTATTTTCCATCCCGCGAGACGGAGACGATCCCACTGCCACCTGACCGAAAAATAGCAAACGCGATCGCTTTTTTGAAATAAAAACAGGGAAATGAAGATACACTCGTTCAGTGGTTTCCTCCAGGACGAACTTCGAATAAAAAAAAAACAAAAACTACTTTTTATCGCGTTTCAAAAACCGCTGGGCTTCCTTCAACATCCTTGTGCGGTCCTTCTTGGCCTCTTCTTTCAATTCCTGCGTATTTTCTTCTCCTTCTTCCTCCTCTTCGATGTCATCATCATCATCCTCTTCATCCGTTGGAGAATATTCCACTTCACTGTCACTCGCCATGAACGGATCATCCATGTCATATTCGTCTTCGTCGCTTTCTTCCTCGTAATCTATTCTCCGCTTGGCCGCTGGGAAAATGCATAATTTAATCAATTTTGTGCGAATAATTTCTCATTTGATAATTATCAGTCTGGAGCTTGTCCAACGTGAACTTCACAAGGCTATGCATTGTCAAAAAGTAAAAACATTTTTACAGCAAACTCACAGGGACCTCATGAAAAGTTTTTCAGATTGAGATTCATGGTTTTCAACACATTTATGACTGAAATTTTGTGGGAAATGTGTAATAAATTCTATGAAGTGCTTCAATCACTGATAATTCCCAAGTCTCCAAGATGGAATGAAGAGGAAACATTTTTAATATTCTTCACAGTTCTTCACTTACCTGCATTTCTACTAAAGACTTCCTTCCAAATATACCGTATTTACTCAAGTACTACGTGCACCTTTTTTCTCAAATTTCAGAAGAAAAACAGGGGTGTGCATCATAAGCAATAACAAATGTTTCAAGAAGTTTTAGGAAGTTATGTGGGCATTATAATTTACTTAATTATAATGGCGAAATTTTGAAAAAAAGGAACAAGAAAACTCTCTGGTACTGAAAAAGTTGAAAATTGATCAGATTTTTTGTTCAATTCATGTCTACAGTCAATTTTTTGTACTTATTTTCAAAATTTTGTGGTTTTAGATTCACTAAAAATTGGGGTGCGCATCTTACTTGGGGATACGATTTTAGCCAAATTTCCAACTAAAAAACCCCTGTGCGCGCCTTACTCGAGGGCGCGTGGTACTCAAGTAAATATGGTACATATTCATTCATACCAGGTTGCTCTCAAAAAATAAAAATAAAATTCTTCATAAAAAATTTACTTGAAAGAAAGGCATGCATTCTCACACAAAGTCAGAGAATTTCCAAGACATATGTCATTTGATGGATTATCTTGAACAATACATTTTCTCTACAGCAAGTTTTTTTCTTATCTAATGAAGTTTGAATGCTGCACCAGTTATCATCCTAATTTCCTCACTTCTGCAGTAAATCCTGCATGAAAGTTAGAAAATCGAAGTTTTCTGGAACACTCCCTGCATAATTAGGGCAGATTACTTGAAAACTTTTGTCAGTAATTGCATTGCAAAAACGAGAAATTATTCAGAATGATCTGATAATCTCACAACTTCAGCTGTTTATTCTGTGAGAAAATTAGAGAATTGAAGTTTCCACAGAAGCCTCACACATCCAATCTTCTGTATCATAGAACAGAAAATTCTCCAATTGCAGTACTAATGCCAGTAAACGAATTGCAAAGACAGAAAATAATCCAGGAAGTTCTGCAGAATAATTTGATCACCCAAATTCTCCAAACTTCAGAAAACCCTGAGTAAAAATTGTGAGAATCCAAGTTTTGAAATCTGACACTTCCTGGCAGCATGGCATGATAGCTTCATTAAAAACTTTTGCAATTGAATATACCAGTAGATGATTTAAAATATTTTAAGACAATTATTTAGAACACCATCCCCAACCTTTCTAGCAAATTTCCATAAAATGTTTACAGACCAGCAGAGAATTTGCTAATACCTGCCATGAAGTCCTCAAAATAAGACTTTCATTGCAAAAATTAAATCAAGAACCAATGAAGCAGATACTGCTTAATGTCTTGAAAAAAATTAGAGAGTTGGGCCTCAAGAAAAGTGTCTCAGAAAGAAAACTTGAAATAATGTTGTCCAACAGGTGAACATGTGTCTGAAGCCTCATTAGGAGAAAAGCCAACTTTTATTCTCCATCAGATCATTTCAAGAAATTTCAAATAAAGATAACAAAGTTAATTACTACCTTTGATAAATGTAATATGCTGAAGACAATTTCCCGAAGACCGTCTAATATCCGATTTTTCAAAAGGACCCGATCATTTCAATGGACATCCTTCAACACATCCCAGTACGGAACATTCATTTAAACAGGAATTAGGAAGCAGATCTCGACTCCACACCTTTTTTGGCAGCCCGAGCAGGGGTAGGTTTTTGCGTATGCTTGAAGTCCACGCGGTGTTGTGGATTCTTTCGGTAACACTGAACACCGTACTCGCATTCCGGCCTATATCATTCTCATCTTCTTTGGGTTCTACGTAATCTGGGTCTCCGGGATGAGCCAATTCTGCACGATGGGCCGGGTTTCGACGATAACAAGTAGAACCGAAAGCGCAAGATCGTCTCTGGGATGATTCAACCTTGTTTTCAGATTCCGGGGAAACCGGACGAGGTGAAGCAAACGGGATCGTAGATGCTTCTGAGGGGGAGAGAAATTTAATTACAGTACTTAAGAAAGCCATCCTTGATAACAGTGTACCAACATTGACTGAGATAAAACACATACTTTCACACAAGAACTACTCCGCACAGTGAATATAGTGCTTTCCATAACTCGGGACTGGTTCAATATTTATCACATATTATCTCCGAAAACTACAAAAACAAAAGCTGGATAAACGCAGAAAATATGTCAATACCACTCGATTTTTCATCCGATTCCTCGTCAGGCGCATGGGATGAATCAAAAGGTACGTCAACTGAAAATCAAAGGCACAAAAACTGTTTTCGACGAAACCATCCAAAAATTGACAACAGAATCTTACCCGGCGGTTCGTTTTGACTTTCCGGAGCAGCAGAACCAGCTTTTTCGGATTCGGAAACATGGACTCGACTTTCCTCCGTTTTACGGATTCGTTTTCCTGAAATTCAAGTCGAAAATACTGTACATAATAAGTACTCCGAATGAAAAAGCATTATTTCCCGAACGAAAATTCCCTCATCAGATACGCAGAAATGGAGGAAACGAACCACAGAGAAGGTCTTATTTCAAGATTTACAAAAGCGTAATGTACTCCATAAGATTTTTTTACTTCACACACTTGCGATCCAAGAAAATCTTTCAGCGAACATTTTCAAATCGTTAGCATAATCAGTTCACTGCATTTCTATTTTGAAAAATTTCAAAGCATGATCATTTACCCACTTCTTTCGCCGTCATTTGGTTTCAGAGGCAATTTCCTGGGTTTCTTCGCAGTGCTTTCCAGTCCTTTCGAATCGCTCAACCAACTGGGTAATCTCCTTTTACGCTCAACGAGTTTGGCTGGCAGAGAAGGATCTAAAGCGCGATTCAAGTCATTTCTGATCGCAGAAACTTCTGGATCAGAAACGGAAGGACCAGCTTCGTTCATATCCTTGCACTTGAGCGCCTGAGTAAAGAAGCCTTCTTTGTACAGAAAATAATACGAAAAGCACGAGAAAAAATCCCCTTTCTCGTTGATAAGGTGCTTTAAAAAAATGATACTGGGAGAAAAACACACGCTAACCAATTGTTTTATGCGGTTCGACTTGCATCTCCCGGAACCTCTCGTCGTTTTCTTTTATACACTATCAATAATTTTCAACTAATTTTCACAGGTGCATACTATATAACTGCAAGCTTTTGCGTTTTATTGGCAGCTTTTGTGATTCAAATCCGTCCTTCGAGTGATTCTTCGCTTTTTCTCATGGAATCTTTACAAACCGAAGGCCTTCCATTAACTTCCCGAATTACGCTATTATGCATACGGAAGCAGAAGGGAGTTTCTCGAGGGATATTGACTTCATCTCACAAAAGCATTGATGATTATTACAAGGGTTTTTTCAGCGGTTAGTTTTAAAAATGTGACACACCGGTACTTCTTCTTCGAGATGCGGCGTCAATGGTGCGTTTGACGCTTCGGACAAACCATCGTCGATGATCGTCACGGCATAGATGAAGGAATTAGGGTGGAATGCAAACCGGAACTCATTGTCGAGCCGTACTTCCTCCGGTGCGACTATTGATTCCGGCGTTTCCGCACTAGCTTTCCAAACAAAGCATGGCTTGGAGTGAGTCTGCGCAGGAGATGGTGCATATTTAAGTTCCTACAATCCGTCGGCTGATTCTTTACCGATTTCAAAATGACGCTTCCTTCGTCCGGAATGAACGTGATTTCAGCATGATGTCTCGAGATGCTCTTATCCATACACTGTTCCGATCAAAACAAAATCATTTAAATCTTTCTATCAGGAACTCATTTTCAAGAAAAATGAATTTTTCAAGCTTCAAATATACAAACTTACGTTCAAAAGGTGTCCACGGCCAAGAATTGTAACACCAAACGGGATTTCTATAGAATCCCCACTTGCGTCAATCCTCTTCATTAACGCGCGCATATTCGAATTCTCAGTAGATGATTTTTTCAAAATTTACTTTACTCTGCATGGCAACGTTCGAGTAGCATACACTAATATACCGGTGCAATACACTTCAGCCTGTTCGGTACATCTTTTGTGTTGCGCGATGATCATTCACAGGAAGGAGATTCATTGAATATTGCGAGAGAAAATGTATTTTTTTAAAATTTTCGAAAAACTTTAAAAGCAATTCGAGTGATTTTATAATGTTCAAAATAATACAAGGGCGTTAAATTTTAAAATTTTTAATAGTGTTTAAATATCCATCTTAATCAATCAGAATTTTCCTTCTGAATACTACCATGGCAAGTAATAGTAGAAAAATAGGAGTTTTCCATGTCGGAGAAGGGGCACCAACCATGAACGTCACTGTGCTGCACGTGATCACTGCTCGGCGTTGACATCTTGAACTCTCGTGGGGTGTCGCTTAGTCGGGTAATGAGAAGTACAGTTACTTTGATGTTGACCATGATGACTCCAGTCGACGAGAGTGTGAGATGTAATCCGTGAATTGGAAGGTGTCACATTGATTTTTCTGGACTGTTCTATCACAAGTTTCATTCTTAGCGAAGTTTAATGCCAGTGTTGATTGTTTCCAGGGTTCCGACTTAGTTTCCCGTGATCTTTCTGCATTGTATCAAGTAATCAAGCATCATGTTTGTCGTTCGTCGATCCGCTTCTCTCGCGCAACAACTGCCCCGAAGCGCGAGGAAAGTAAGTACCTTACGGACACGATTGGATGAATCTGTGTTCTCCTTCATCGTGAAAATGATGTAATTATGACCGAATCCTTACGTTTCAGATCAACAAGACCGCGATTGCCGCATTGAGCATCGATGGTTCCGGCAAGGCCTCCGGTGTACAAAAGAGGACCTTCGCTACCGGTAATGTGGCCAAGGCAGCGGAAGTTTCGTCAATTCTTGAAGAACGCATCTTGGGAGCTTCTTCGAAAATCGATCTGGAAGAAACCGGTACAGTTGATCACGTGAGTTTTAAATCTACAAAATGTTGACGATGCCATGGTTCTCTCATCAGGTCGCGTGCTTAGCATCGGAGATGGTATCGCTCGTGTCTACGGCCTGAAGAACATCCAAGCGGAGGAAATGGTGGAGTTTTCCTCTGGCCTGAAGGTATGTTAGTCGCCGAAGTCGTACTTCCCGAACGGAAAAATAGGTTTCTGATGTACAAATTAGGGAATGGCCCTCAACTTGGAACCTGACAACGTTGGTGTCGTCGTGTTCGGTAACGACAAGCTCATCAAGGAAGGCGATATCGTTAAACGTACTGGTGCTATCGTCGATGTTCCCGTGGGCGATGGTTTGCTTGGCCGTGTCGTGGATGCCCTGGGTAACCCGATCGATGGCAAAGGTGCCCTCAACTCCAAGTCGAGGTATGTCTCGGAATTATGTACCGCTTGGGAGATGGTACCGTATGCTCTAAACAATAATCGATGTGTGAGGTATCATTTGAGAATTTTGACTTTCGTAAGAGAGGTCAATGTTGTAATGCTCTCAGGAATCCGTGGAAAAGACCTTGTTTCGTGTTTTACCGAGTCGGAGTATCCGGACGTTTAATGAATGTCTTTTTTTCATCTAAAAATCTCATCAGGTCTCGAGTCGGAGTGAAAGCTCCGGGTATCATTCCACGTATCAGTGTGAGGGAGCCGATGCAAAGTGGCATCAAGGCCGTGGATTCGCTGGTGCCCATTGGACGTGGACAGCGAGAACTGATCATTGGTGATCGACAGACCGGGTAAGAAATTTGTTTTTGTTTCTAATACTCAGATTCTTATTGTTCCTTTTCGACTGTGATTCACAGAAAAACTGCGATTGCCATTGATACGATCATCAATCAGAAAAGATTCAATGATGGCGCTGACGAGAAGAAGAAGCTGTATTGCATCTACGTTGCTGTTGGACAGAAGCGATCGACTGTTGCGCAGATTGTGAAGCGTCTCACTGATTCTGGTAAGTTTCATTTTTGAAAATACGATCCGGTTAAGTGTGAATTCAGCAAATAAAACTCTGGAGAGTATCATTTTATCTACAGCATAATGCAAAGGATCAGATAAAATGGGTGGTAAAGAGACTTTGGTTGTAAATAACCTTGTGTTATAGAACCAAAAAATGATTCGTTATGCAGAGAAAGTTGTTCTACGCAAGATTTTCGTAGAGAGGGAGTCCATTCATAATTCAACAACGGAGGTTCACGCGTAAATTTTTGAGTATTAGTCCTCAGAACCACTGAGAGACCAATTGAAAAACTGGAAGGAAAGTCTTCATAGTAATTCGCTGATGTAATTTTTTTCGAATTACTGCTCTTGCACGGTTGAAATCTTGCTCATTAATTGACCATAAATTATTTTCACAGACGCGATGCGTTACACGATCGTTGTGTCAGCTACTGCATCCGACGCAGCTCCCCTGCAATACTTGGCACCGTACACCGGATGCGCCTTGGGCGAATTCTTCCGCGACAACGGCAAACACGCGTTGATCATCTTCGACGACTTGTCCAAGCAGGCCGTCGCCTACCGCCAGATGTCTCTCCTTTTGCGTCGTCCCCCGGGTCGTGAAGCCTACCCCGGCGACGTTTTCTATCTCCATTCTCGACTCCTGGAACGTGCTGCCAAGATGAACGAGACGCACGGCGGAGGATCCTTGACTGCCTTGCCCGTCATCGAGACTCAGGTGAGTTGATTCCTTTTCCGTGTCACTAAAATACTGTAATAGCCAAAAGGCTCACAGAAAATTTGAGTTTTTGATATTTTTACAGGGAGTCGAAAATATTTCGACATGGGGCGGTATTTGACTTAGGGAGGTTTGAATTATAAAGATTCAACTGTATTTGAAATCATTGAAAATGATATTTTCCTTGGTTCCAGGCTGGTGACGTGTCCGCTTACATCCCGACAAACGTCATTTCCATCACGGATGGCCAGATCTTTTTGGAGACTGAGTTGTTCTACAAGGGTATCCGACCAGCCATCAACGTCGGTTTGTCTGTATCTCGGGTCGGGTCAGCAGCCCAGACCAAGGCCATGAAGCAGGTCGCTGGTAGCATGAAGCTGGAATTGGCACAATATCGTGAAGTTGCCGCATTTGCACAGTTCGGCTCTGACTTGGATGCTGCTACCCAGCAGTTGCTGAACCGTGGTGTGAGGTTGACTGAGTTGCTGAAGCAGGGGCAATATGGTGAGGATTTTGATGATAGTTGCGGGGGTTGCCAAGTTGGAAATCTTGACGTATGAGTTGCAGTCTTTTTAATTTTTCAGAACCTTTTAAAAATACTTGGTATGAATTCTGAAAAATGAATTTTCTAGGTATAATATACGTATCCCTGTGTTATTTTGATTATTTTTCAGAGCAATACGAATTTTATTTCATTTTTTACCTGATTTCCATGTAATTTGGCTTTTTTGAAAAACCACAGACCCCTTTAAAGTGCTACAAACGTCACAAACAAATGCCCATGTCCTTTCGAGGTTTGACTTCATTATTTTTTTTTCAGTGCCAATGGCTATCGAAGAACAGGTTGCGATTATTTACTGTGGAGTTCGAGGCTACTTGGACAAAGTTGACCCATCGAAGATCACGGCTTTCGAAAAGGACTTCAAGGCCCATATTATGTAAGTTTCCCTGACATCCTGGTATTTACGAATGTAAAACATACATTGCGCTCTTTTTCTTCGTTTCAGTGCATCTCATCGGGATGTTCTCGATACGATTGCGAAAGAAAACCAACTTTCGCCGGCCACAGATGCCAAGTTGAAGGAGATCGTGTCCAAGTTTGTCGCTGGCTGGAGTGGCTAAGAAGTTAACGTCAAGACGAGAAGCAGAGAAAGATGTAGATCGGCCTGCTGGGTGCCGAAAAAGAAGAAGAAGAAGCGAGAGAGCGGAGAAAGTTCTTTAGCCAGCTTTGGAACCTTTTAATTTTTTTCCCCTTCCCTGTGGATTACATTCTCTTGTTTGTTTTTATCTGGTTCACGAACAGCTGAGCCTTGGTATTGTTCAGCCGCTTGAGTTAAAGGAAGATAATTCTTCTTCGGATCCGCTGATTTTTTTTTTTGAGAGAGTAGGTGTACCGGGATAATGTGGAATACACGTTGAATGCGGTTTGATGTCTCGTGATTTGATTGAAAGTCAATTCATTCTGATCCTCTGAATGACGAACGTGTTGAATGACGTTGTGATTTGTATTCATTTGCAGGATCATTGATGATGTGCGCGCGATATGACCGAGCACACTGAATGGATGAAGATTTTTATCTGACTTTCCGTCTGAGATCTGTCGTGTTCGAATTCGTTGAAAGTTGAGCCTTGTAGAATCAACCAGGTAAAGATTTCATTTGCTTTTGTTGGAAAAATTTGGGTTTAAGGTACTGTACTAATGGAAGCTTTCTTCGAAAAAGTTCCAATCTCTCGGACCTGGTTTTACGAGAGGCTAAAGTTTTGGCTATAAATTAATTCCTGTTGAATGAATGAAGGAACCCGTGCCTTCGTTGATGGAAGATTTCATTAAATTCTTTTTTTGTGGAAAAATATGAGTTTGAGGTGCCATTGAAAGATTTCTACGAGAAGTTTTTGATCACCTCGTTTTCGAGGGGCAATATATTTCAGGCTAGAAGTTGATTACTGAGATCAGGTTGGTAAATAAAGGATTCCTTACGAGATGCATCCCCTTTATTGATTTCCGTTGAGATTTTTGCTGTTCACTTGCTAGCTTTTTCTTTTTTTTAAGTGTGTGATCAGTTGCAGCATGTTCCGTGATTATCGAATACCGAGAAGTTACTGGCTTGGACGACTTCAGTTGGCCGTTTGACTGTTCCAAATAAGATTTTTGTTCTGATTTTGCGATTAGAAACTGACAAAACAATTCGAAGATTCCTTCAGTGACAATTTCATGTTTCAACGTGCTCTGTGCATTAATGCTGTTTTCCGAATGATGGATTTGGATTAGGAACACGATGGATCATTAGTTTTGTGTCGCATGTTACGTTTGTGTCATTTTCACGATTGTTTGAAAATTGAATTTCAATTCGCGGCGTATCTACGAGCAGAATTTAATCGTTAGGAGGAAATTTTTTCTGAGGATCTGGCGTCCTTCAGATGAAATATCGTTTCTAATTTTGATGATTAATAATGATACTTCGTGTTCATGCGAATTTCTCATGCGATTCAGTCTCGGTTTTTTCAAAAGTTTTTCAAATACCTGTATCTAAATTGAGACATTGTTGCGAGAGTGTCTCATTCAACTTCTGTTTTAAAGGCTCAAGGTATGAATCTTCCTCCAACTCCTCCGTCTGGCCCATTTTCACGAACACCGTCACCAGAACCGTCGCGTGATGGCAGCAGAGAAGAAAGTCCTGCGTCTCCAGGAAATAACCCATGCGCCATTTGTTTATCCAAAATTGAGGACAAAGCTGAAACTGGGGTCTGTTCCCACGAGTTCTGCTATACGTGTATTTCTGCGTGGGCCAAGGTGAGCTGCTTTGTCCATTATTTGACTTCATCATGTCAAAGTCTTTTTTTTTTATCCTGTAACATGTGATTTTCTCTGCTTAATGTCTGCGAGTTTCTTGAAGGAAGAATATTTTTACTTCCATCAGGAAGGGTTAAATTTATCAATACACTGTAGCGAGTCCCCTCATGACGACATTTTTCAGGGGCGAAAAAATTGAATCACGTAAGTGACATAACTAAATTTTGGGGCGAGCCGAAAAACCTTCAAATGTGAGCAAGCTCTGGGCTTGAACTTTTTGAATTTTCAAAAAAAAAATCGTAGAAAAACGCACAATCTCTTCTTTGAAATTTGTGAAATTCAAGTGTCGAGTGCACACATTTCCAGGATTACTTGAATTTAGCTCCGGTAGACTCTCTTTCTGCGAGATGAAAAATTTTACGGGGCCAATGCCGTTTTGGCCGGTAGAAACATGAAACTTTGTCGTTATCCGGAATAAAATTCGATGCAAATTATTTGGTCGTGTGTTCAAATTTTGGTTGGATGTAAAACTCTTCTACATTCGTTTTAGTCTTTATTTTCGGCTTCAAAGCAAGCGTGTGATTTATTCAAAAATCATGGAATGTATAAATTCCTTTTTGTTTCATTCCGTCTATAGGTTAAAACGCAGTGTCCTCTTTGCAAGACAAAATTCAAATCCATCAGACACAGTTTTGACGCTGATGGCAAATACGCGGTGACGAGAGTTGAGCGAGTTTCTGGCACAGAAGACCAGAGATTAAATCGGCGAAATGATGATCAAAATGTTCGCACGTGAGTTGCTCTCTCTTTCTGAAAAATAGGTTTCAATTTTGTTGCATCCTGGAAATCAAGGCGGAAACATACTTGTCCGAATTATCTGCTTTCTGGCATGTTTGTTTTATATTTGTCTTTGCGCTAGTGTATGAAGCAATGGTTTTCATGGAGAAGAATAATATACAGTGAGACCCCCACATGCGGACGCCTCTACCTGCGGACAATTCGACGTGGGGACACTTATTTTCCCAGAAAAATCAATTGGTAAGGACACTGACTCAACATTAGGTCATTTTGTGATACAATTGCAAATACATTTCAGGCCAAATTACTAGAAACAGATTTTTCCATCCCTAAAATTGATGTAAGAAAAGTTCTTGGGCATTTCTCTCACCCAATTACCATCCATTTAGCTAATTAAAAAAATTACCTCCAGCATAGAGGGACTTCGACTTTTTTTCAGTTGAACGTTATTTTTGTAGATGCCAAAATTTCAGTGTACTGTACAGTACAGAGCTACGCTATTCAATGCTTCAAACGTTCTTATTGAGTTGAAAATGTATTCACTAATTCAAATTCAAGTGGCAAATAATTTTTTAGGGACATTTTGACTTGGGGACACGCTTGATGCACCAATTATGTCCGCATCGTGGGGTCTCACTGTATACCCATATTCTTGCAAATAGATTTTTCATGCTAAAAATTAGCAAATATAATCCCCCGCTTACTTCTGTGGTGTTCTACATTATACATTATCAAAGTGCAGTACCGTAAGTACAATTTCTGACTGAATTTACGTTTTCCTCAGGAAAGGAAAAAGGTGTCACACAACCCTTGCTATTCCCCTTCAATCAGTGACTCCTTCATCTTCAAATGCCAAAAGTTGACCATTTCTCGATTTTTTTCAACTGTAACTCCGGAATAGCTGAAAAAAATTTTATGCTGGATCATTTTGTGGGTCGCGAACAGGAAGATTTCCTGATGTAGACGCATGTTTACGCGAATTTCGTCAAATGTAAATACATTATAAGCACCCCTCAAGTTTTTCACTTTCTAAAATTGGAAAAAGGGGTGCTTATATTCGCATAATTACGGCATTTCTTCCTTAATTATTTGATTTTCTTGTTCGCCTAATGATTATCACCTTAATTATTATTTTTTATTCAATATAGCCTAAGTTAGGTTGATTAGGGTAGTGATAGTCGAATTACATGCATGACGAGAGTTGGAAGTTGAAAAATAAAATGTTCCTCTTTTACAGGAGAGACTTGATGTCGAATCAACGCTCTCGGGTCTACACTCGGGACCTTTGGGCCCTGCAATTCCCATTTCCGGATCGTCACCTGAGGCCGCATCTTCTCGCCGCGGATCCCTCGGAGTTTCGGAGGATCCGAGCGTGGATAAACCGCGAATTGGTTGCAGTGCGACGAGCAACGGGACAAGAGCAGGTGTCGAGAGCAGACTTGGACTCGGTGAAGGCCTTGTTGACTGTTCACGACTTGCTGAGTGAGAGGATGTTGACGGAGTTGGGGCGACGGGTTGGGAGGCGATTCGCGAGGCATTTTTTGCACGAGTTGATCGTTTTTGTGAATACCCCGTACTCTGTTCGGGAATACGATGAACGCGTTTTTTACGCATCCAGGCAGGAAGTGTCCAGAACGTGAGTTTTGTTGATTTGAAGAGTACCGAACTTACGCGAATATGAGCACTCGCTGTATTTTTCATGAAAAAAAAAAATTTTTCATTGCAGTGAATACGTAAGCACCCACTTCCTTCTGTGGTGTTCTGACTTCCCAGGAACCTAAAATTTCTCGCCAAGTGTACGTTTTCTATAGAAAGGGAAAAGCTGCGCCACACAACCCATGTTTTTTCCTTTCTTTCGATGAAGAAAGCTGGAAATGCTCAAAACCATTTTTTTTCGATTATTTTTAACTTGAATTCCGAAAAAAATACTGCAGAAAATAAGTGCTAGATCATTTTATGGGGCGCTAGCAGGAAGATTTCCTGACACAGGCGCATATTTGCGCAAATTTCATAAATATGCGAATATAAGCACCGCTCTACTTATTGAGCTTCTAGAATTTCGGAAAAGATGGTGCTTATACTCGCGGAAATATTGTAAATTGATCCTCTTCATCACGTGAAATAATAATGGCACCGTTTGGAAAATTACGTGAATACTGTATTACTCCCGGAAAATCACGTACAGTACAGTACATCATTCGCGCAAGATGGCAGATAGAAAAGCACAAGAATGAGAAGCACTCATGAAACAAAACCCTTGTTCTAATTTCAAAACGAATATCACGAAATATTTTTCCTTTGGTCGTTCTGAGAAACGTGATGTATTAACCGGGATGTGTTGGACACAGTTTTTCCGTCCCCGTGACGCAGAATGACGAAAACGTCATGAATCTCTTTTGATGCCGCATAGATGTCGCCTGAACCTTCGAATTTTTCGTTTGGTCGAAACGGTCTTTTCGTCATCAAACTGAATTACTTGAATTCCTGTTATTTCAAGTTTTAGTTTTTATCTGCAAGAGACACCTCTTTGAAATCTTCCAGATATTATGGCTAAGCCTCGCAGGAAAGATGAATTAACTTCTGTTTCTCTGTCCGTAGGTCGCCGGTGTTCCGTTTAGTGGCTGACGAAACCTCATGTGGTACGTGTAATTCACCCCGGGAAATTTTTTAAAAATGCACTTGAATACAGTATTGTTTCGCATTCTTTCTCTGTAGACGGAAGAAGTGAAAGCATATCAAACGTATCCCGAAGATCGATTCCACGTATTGCCGAAACAAATGCGCCGAGCAGCAGTGGATCGGGGGTCAAGAGGAATCGAGACAGACGACGGATTTCCAGATGGAACATCGAGGATGAAGCGACGCGGAAGAAATCTTGATCGGATTTTTTCTGTGGAAAAAAAATGCAACCGGCTGAAGTCTTAATTGGGTTCCTTTAAGGAATCGAGAGAAGCTCGCAAGTCCAAAACAATGTATTTAATACCGAATTTGCTGAAGGAGCTCCACATTTTCAGCCGTTTTGCTCTGTCAAATTCAGAGGAATCCACACCGTTGTGAGCCTTTTTTTTTTTAACGTGACGACACATATTAAGAGGTCAGTGAGGGACATTTCCGTGGTGCCTCGGTTAATGGTCTTGATCCGTTCCAAGGGAAGTCCATTAACCGCGTAATGGAAAGCTATTCCTGTGCTACACAAGATAGAAAAGACTGATTTGTTCCAAACCCCCGAAAGTTCTTTGAACGATTCATGTGAATCTAACCGTGAAAGGCTAATCTGTTTTAGATCCCTTGGAAATTTTCTTTGTGAATGCTGACATTTTATTTGAAAGTAACAAACAAGTACAGTACTGTACTGTAATTTAATTGTAGAGAAATATGTGGAAGTACATTACAGTCGAACCTCTCCGAGTCGAACTTCAAGGGACCACTAAAAAATAATATTCACGGAGTTTTTGAGTGAGGAAAATAAGCATTTTGAAGGAAATTGTAATTTGTGATAATATGGGCCTGGAATTGGTTCTTAAATGAGTTGACAGAATGCTGAAATCGGAAGCAAGCGTCTATTTGCTCGATTAGTCTTTCACTTTCATTCAAAACACATCAACTTATTTTTTTGTAGCTTTTATCTTTCCTGTGTCAAGAAAAGAAAAGCTGAAAGGCCTCCAAATAATTCGAGTTTTGGAGGTTTGAGGGGGAAACCTACGAATTAGAGTGGGCTTTTAGTGCATTACAGTACATCTAAGGGAATTCAGACGAGGACTTGTAAAAGAATTTGACTTGGAAAGGTTTTAGTTACAGTTTTAAGCTTCAACTGCATGAAGTATCAAAATTATTCATGGCTAGAACAATATCCAATACAGAATGAAGTTGAGAAAAATTTACCCAATTGAAAATAATTTTTCAGATTTATAATAGCTTATTGTAATTCAGTCTGTTACTGTATTGTAAACAGTGTCCACCTTCTGAAGCAGAAATCAGCGGTATCCGAAATTCAATGTGCGAAAAGCCCATTACGTGAAGCGTAGGCCATTATCCGGGGTATCACTGTATTCAAGAAGGTATTAGTTCCTTATTATGAATATGTGCGTGTGGTGTTTTTTTTTTTTTCAGGCGCTGAAACGGTTGCAGATGGATCCGCTTTCCCTCGAGAATCCCCGGGGCACTGATAATTTCAACTGATGTCGGTTCTTCTTTTCAATGTTCGTTTTGGGATTGCGGGAGTATTTTTGATTTCATGTAATTTTTTTGTGGCATGAATTCCGCAGGTATTTCGTGTGCGGCTTTCGGAAGTGCAACGTTGTGCTCCTCAGTGTAACAAGAAAAAGTCGTAGAATATTTCGCTGGTGAGTCTCTTCGAATCAGTTATGACTTACAGTATTATTAAAATTTTTTTTCAACTGCATACAAATTTTTGCAGGTGGTCGGTTTCCATGGCGTTTTCTTCTGACGGTGCTGCCGTGATCGAGAGACAAGTTGTTATTCATCCACGGAAGAAAAACGAATCGAAGACTACTGACATTGCTGAGTATGAAGTAGACCGAGTTTCCGAATGGATTCTGGCCCATAATTTCTCACAGGTATGGTTTTCTTCGCCTTGATGCCCTGAGCTATTGTGTTTACGTGAATAAAAGAACCCACTTACAGTACTTTCGTGGTGTTCTGGCTTTCCAGGAATCTAAAATCTTTGACTGAAATTAGGTTTTTTCGCCGAAAAGGAAAAACCGCGTCAGACACCCTTGCTCTTCCCATTCAATCAATGATTAATGCATCTTGAATTGCTAAAAGCTGAAAATTACTCAATTATTTTCAACTTGAATTTTGAAAGAAAACAACTAAAAATTGCGGGATTATTTTGTGGGCAGCGAAAAGGAAGATTTCCTGATCGCGAAGTTCAGAAATTTCCGAATGTAAGCATCCTAGTTTATGAGTTTTTAAAATTGGAAGGAAGAGGTGCTTATATTCGCATAATTACTGTACTTGAGTTGAAATACTTACGAAAATACCATATTGTCGAGTATGGATTCCATGACTTTCTGCGCTTTTCTCGCAAAAAAATCAGTTTGAAACAGTCGCATGATCATTAATTTTAGGTGGGCCTCCAATTTCCCGACGATTGTTTAGAAAATGCCTCGAATGTGGCGACGGCGCTTCGAGAAAAACTCGGTTTCAAAGTTTACATTTTGGGCGACTCTACGTTTTCCAGGTAGGGATAAATTCCTTTGGAAAAACCTGTAGAATCGTTGAAATAAAATCGTTTNTGAAGCAAAAATCAGCGGTATCCGAAATTCAATGTGCGAAAAGCCCATTACGTGAAGCGTAGGCCATTATCCGGGGTATCACTGTATTCAAGAAGGTATTAGTTCCTTATTATGAATATGTGCGTGTGGTGTTTTTTTTTTTTTCAGGCGCTGAAACAGTTGCAGATGGATCCGCTTTCCCTCGAGAATCCCCGGGGCACTGATAATTTCAACTGATGTCGGTTCTTCTTTTCAATGTTCGTTTTGGGATTGCGGGAGTATTTTTGATTTCATGTAATTTTTTTTTGGCATGAATTCCGCAGGTATTTCGTGTGCGGCTATCGGAAGTGCAACGTTGTGCTCCTCAGTGTATCAAGAAAAAGTTGTAGAATATTTCACTGGTGAGTCATTTCGAATCAGTTACGACTTACAGTACAGTATAAAATTTTTTTTTTAACTGCATTAAAATGTTTGCAGGTGGTCGGTTTCCATGGCGTTTTCTTCTGACGGTGCTGCCGTGATCGAGAGACAAGTTGTTATTCATCCAAGGAAGAAAAACGAATCGAAGACCACTGACATTGCTGAGTATGAAGTAGACCGAGTTTCCGAATGGATTCTGGCCCATAATTTCTCGCAGGTATGGTTTTCTTCGCCTTGATGCCCTGAGCTATTGTGTTCACGTGAATATAAGCATCCACTTACAGTAATTTCGTGGTGTTCTGGCTTTCCAGGAATCTAAAATCTTCGACTGAAATTAGGTTTTTTCGCCGAAAAGAAAAAAACGGCGTCAGACAACCCTTGCTCTTCCCATTCAATCAATGATTAATGCATCTTGAATTGCTGAAAGCTGACAATTACTCAAATCATTTTCAACTTGAATTTTGAAAGAAAAAAAAATCGATGGATTATTTTGTGGGCAGCGAAAATGAAGATTTCCTGATACGCGAAATTCAGAAATTTCCGAATGTAAGCATCCTAGTTGTTGAGTTTTTAAAATTGGAAGGAAGAGGTGCTTATATTCGCATAATTACTGTACTTGAAATACTTACGAAAATGCCATATTGTCGAGTATGGATTCCATGAAAAAGACGCGAAAAGAGCGTTTTTTTAGTCAAACTTTGTCAGCGTACTAGTAATTAAAATCCACCCGGAGGTTAAAGGGCTGCTAACAAATCTTTTACGGAGCTTACACCGCTGCCGCGAAGCTCTTTAACTCGGTTTCAAAGTTTACATTTTGGGCGACTCTACGTTTTCCAGGTAGGGATAAATTCCTTTGGAAAAACCTGTAGAATCGTTGAAATAAAATCGTTTTGTTTCCTTCCCCCCCCCCCCCTCAAGTTGTTGCGTGGACGAAGTAACTGCGGAACACTTGAATATTCAAGCTGTGATACATTTCGGACATTCTTGCGTCTCACCCACGACGTCTCTTCCGGTGCTCCGCGTGTTTCTGGAGCAAAATTTCGACGTTGCCAGGCTGTGTACTGAGGCTGTTTCCAAACTTCACGGCGAAGCGTTTGTTTTGTTGTTCGACGTTAAGTATTCGAGGAGTGCAGGTGAGGGAAAGCGTACTTTGCAAAATCTGTGCGCTTTTTTCGGGGGAAATGCCCTCGAGATAATTTTTGTCGAATTGAAACGCCTGGGCGAACCGATTTTCGAAATTTTCCGACAGAACAGCTTTGGGTCTTGCGTAAAGGCAACGAATCCCTTCATGGGCACGTTTCGTTGTGCCGAATTTTCGTATTGCGCAACGCGATTTCCCTCAAAGTTACATTCGAAGCAATTTGATTCGTTCCTTAAAGTCACCTAAATACCGTAATAAACCTTCATAATTGTGTACAGTACTTCTCCTGGTTTTCAGCATGAAATTATTAAATTTAAAGCGAGTAGTGTTGAATTTCAGTAGTCCTGGAAAGTTTGTGCTCTGAACTTCCTGAATTTCTCAAAGTTTATGGAGAAGAAGAGACGAAATAATGCTTTTCCCCTGTTTGTTTTTGTAAGTCTGAACCGTTAGTCAAAAATGTTCAAAATTTAAACGCTTTTTTTTGCCAAAGAAATCGTGATGAGGAACAGTTTTGTTCCGCAAGTCACATTTTCCTCCTGGGAATTTTTGTCGTGAGGATCTTTCATTATGCGCGAACTCGTTGTTCGGGAAAGAAGAAATCAAAGGGCGGCTTCGTCCAAAGATTGATCTCATCCTTGAGCCAAAATATTTGAATTCGAAGTCGTCCCGTCGAAAGCTTTTTCAATCATATCTCGAAATGTACGACTCAGACAAAGGTTTTTGTTTTCTGCGCATCTTGAGTTAGGAATATTGGAGATATTGTGTTTCTTACTTCCCAACGTTTCTGAGAAGAAGAATAGTTATCAAATTCGGAAAAATAGCCCTGGCAATGGAAACTGTAACGGATTGAGAGAAAGAGTGAGTTTACCTCTAGTTGCGAGTGTCAAAAATGTTTTCGATTTATTGCAGCTGACTTGGGTGAGATGCTTTTGATCAACGGACAGGAGATCGAAGTGTCCAGAACGAGTGACGCGGGAAAACTCGGACGTTGTAAGTCGAAGGGAGAGCTGTGTTAGCTTCTGTGGTTGCAAGAAAAGCACCCGTTTGGCAGAAGGCAAAAGGAAGCGTTGACCTATTAGAGAACATTTGGATCTGTCGGCGGAGTTTCCACAGAGTAAATCGACCCAGAAACCGACACCTGGTCAGAAAAAGATTTCTCTGACTGGCGTAACGTTGTTAAGAGGCGGTATTTCCTGCTTGAGAAAGCCAAAGACGCTCGGAAAGTCGGTATTCTCGTCGGGACGTTGAGTGTGAAGCAACACGACGAGATTGTCGAGAGACTGAAGCTAGTTTTGAAACTCGCGGGGAAGTCGTTTCACGTTTTTGTCGTCGGGAAGCTGAATCCCGCCAAGTTGGCCAATTTCCCGGAAGTGGATGCTTTCGTGTTGGTGTCGTGTCCGGAAGCGGTTTTCGTGGAGGACTCGAAGGATTTTTTGCAGCCGATCGTTACGCCTTATGAAATGGAATTGGCGTGTTTTGCTGGTGGCAGGAGTTTGAGTGACGGTTACGTCGTCGACTTTCGGGACTTGCTTCCTGGTGAATGAACATTCAGTCTTTCATTTTTACATTATTTGAAAAGAGAAAAATTTCTAATCAAGCTCGTTTTTACGCTTATTTCTCAGTCATTGTTTGATGTTAAACTTTGTAAATGCGTATTGGGTGCTTGGAATGTTGAGTTCGGGCCAGAAAGAAGGGCACTTCCACGAAATGAAAATCAATGCTAGGATAAAGCAAAGCTAGATAAAAGCCAATTTCTGTATTCATATAAGTACCACGCAGACTTTTTTTTTCTCTTATAATTGAGAGGAGAAAAGGAGGGTATGTGTCATACGAAGGGATAGAATCTAAAAAAGTTTAGAACCTTAGTTGTGCATCATACTTGATTCTAATGAAAAGTGTTGGATCTATTTTGAAAATAGAAATTTCTTAATCGAAGCAAATTTAAATTAATTGAATTTGGGTTGAATTCCTGTACAAATTAAAATTCTTGTGCCATATATTTTCCAAGTACTGTATTTCAGTTTTTCAGTCTCAAAAAAGGGGCATGTTTTTTACGCGAAAAAGGGAAGGATTTTATCGACATTTTATGCCGAAAAATCTAGTTGTGTGTCTCACTTCGGTAAATACGATATTGGAAAAATGTCCAAAAAATGTTCATTTTCGTCGCCTTAATGAATTTGAACCCTTTAAAAGAAATCTTTTGGGCATTTGCCTCAGTAATTCAAATTGTAATGCTATTTTTAAAACTTGGATTAATCAGCCTGCTTACCTTTCTGATGTTGAGAATCCTTGCACAATCGTGTTTCTACTTGTTGCCCTGCGCTGTTTTGAGCATGTGCGGTTTCGGGATGCGCCTCAAGCTGTCTGGTGATTCTTTTTTTGCGATGATTGCTAAAACTGTTGGGGATATTTTTCATTATTCCAGATGGAGCCAAGTATGTAGAGTTGCCAGAACGACTAGAACCTCAAGCGGACGTTTCACTGCTTTCCAACTCTGTTCGCTCGCCCATGAATGTTTCTACAGTGACGGGCAATACGGAAGTTGCTTTAAAATCGGAAGGAACTCTCGCCACATGGTCTTCGGAACTATCTGGAAGAACCTGGACTGGTGTGGAATTCAGCGTTTCTTCCGATAATGTTGGTGTAGAAGAGGGGTTGCACGGGAAAGCCACTGGATATTTTTCTGAACCGGTCCGGAACAAGTGATTGAAGCTGATTTACTTGGGCTGGAGTTTGTTTTTCATTTGCATCCAATTCCGTCATGTGTGTCGAACGATTTGCTCGGATTCCGGCGATTTTTCTTATGTTTCAGACAGCGGTTCACAATTTTTATTTTTGCTCGATCCGCTGATTACATGATTCGGATTATTACGCTGTGATTTTTGTGAAGGTGAGTCCATTTCTTGTTCGTTCATCGAATTGCTTTTTTCCGTGGGGATGACATTTAAGAAATGGAACCCTCTGTCTTTTTTGAGAAGTAGTTTTTAAATATTTTAAACTCGGGAAATTTCAGCTCATACGAAGAAATACAATTCCTAGCCTCATTTTCTTCCAGTTATCTCTTGCAATTTTGTTTCAACTTTTAAAGGTAATTGAAAATGCTGATAAGCTGAATGGGGGCCAAAATTAAACCCCGATTGGATTACATTACAGATGAACTCTCTCTGAAACAATTTTCTCCGTACAGTATATCGATTTTCGGTTTTGGTTCCTATTCGGAAATGTATGTTCCCCTGAATTTCGCTAAACATGGAAATCTGTAATTTCAACTGGTTCTTCGTCCCGTTTTCTCGTATATTTAGGCTTGAAACCCTGCCTTTGAACTTGAAGAAGTACGTGTTTCATCATGAACTACGGTGTGAAAAAGATTGTGTATCAAGGTTAAGAACAACAAATACAGAGATTATGAAATGTTTCTAATTTTTTGCTCAAAATTCTGCTTTTAAAATTGTGATGCGACGAAATTTAAATTTTTCTAATCTACCATGTGGTCGATGGTGTTTTATTTAGGAAAAACGAAATTTAATCAAAATAATTATGGAAATGATTAATTAAAATTAGTCTTAGTGATCCCATGTCGTGTTAATTCTGCGGGTTATGCATAATTAAGATTAACCCCTGAAACTTGTGATGGGGCTAATTTTACGAATATTTTTGGCAAAAATCTGGTAGTTCGTAAAAAGTCTTAAGTTTATAATTTTTTCTTCTTTTGGTTTCTCACGACAGGTTCGAAATGAGCGATTCGCCGACTATCGAAGGAGTCGGACCTCGAAGCGGTAGCGCAGGGTTTAGTGGTTTTTTTCAAGCAGTATTGGCCTCTTCTTGTACAAGGCCATGAAGTAGCTGCACAAGGCTGCTAAGTTTCACAGGTTATACGAATAGGAGCATTGATGACGTAGCAACTCTTGACGGATGTCAACACGAATTCTGCTTCGTTTGCATTCTTGAATGGACAAAGGTGACCTTTTTTATTTTAAAAAATTACATTTTTTCTGGGGTATTTTTATAAGGGAATTAATTCTTTGTAGGTGAAACTGGAATGTCCACTATGCAAGGCTCGTGTTCAAACAATCACGCACAAATTCCGGGAAGGAAACAGAGGAGAAGGCGTGGTATTACATTTAACGCCCCCGGACGATTTCCCAGATGACAGCATTCTCTTTTCTTCAGTGGAGTCAGTTGCCTTCTTCACCTCAATTTATTTCTTATTTGTCAAAACGAATTCCGAATTTATTTCTATGCGCGTTATTTTCTCTTCGATGTCAATTCTTAATTTTTTGGAAATGTCAGGCAAGTGTCGTTTGAATCGCTGACCTGGGCAAAAATAACCTAACGTGACGTTGCCTCAGCTAACATGAGTTGTTAATTGAAAGCGTTAGATTCGCAATCTACTTTGACGGGGTGTAAAGACGCAAAGGTACGTCAACCTGTCGAGGTGTTGGTAGCTTCCAAGATATTTATTTTTAAGCCGTGGACTGATGTTTTCTGGCCACTCAGCCTGGAGCTTCGCCATCGCGTCCCAAATCACCAAAAAAAGTTCGTCATAACCGGAGAAGAACATGTTCCGGTACTTCATCGACGTGTTCCGACGATTCAAAGTGTCCAATATGCTTATCCTCTATTGATGACGTAGCAACTCTTGACGGATGTCAACACGAATTCTGCTTCGTTTGCATTCTTGAATGGACAAAGGTGACCTTTTTTATTTTAAAAAATTACATTTTTCTGGGGTATTTTTATAAGGGAATTAATTCTTTGTAGGTGAAACTGGAATGTCCACTATGCAAGGCTCGTGTTCAAACAATCACGCACAAATTTCGGAATGGAAACAGAGGAGAAGGCGTGGTATTACATTTAACGCCTCCGGACGATTTCCCAGATGACAGCATTCTCTTTTCTTCAGTGGAGTCAGTTGCCTTCTTCACCTCAATTTATACAGTATCTTATTTGTCAAGACGAATACCGAATTTATTCCATTGCGGGGGTTATTTTCTCTTTTGTGTTAGTTCTTGGTTTTTTGGAAGGTCAGACACGTGTCGTTTGAATTGCTGACCTGGGTAAAAATAACTTAACCTGACGTTGCCTCAGCTAACATGAGTCTAACTTGTTCATTCTGAGGTGATTTAATTCGTTGACCCGAGCAACTTGGGTCTAAAAGAATGAGAGAATTGCATGAAATGTGCCAGTGACACCTGTGTGTCTTGGAAGAAACTCAGGGATCCTTGGACGTTTTACTGTACAGTAGAGTGGAAATAAGTGGATCTCATTGTGACACATTTCCTATTTTTCAGTAAAATCTCGTCACTTGTTTCTAGAAACATTTTGGGGACTTCAGAAAAACTTTGTTATACTGAATAAATTGTTATTGCGAGATTTTCAAAACGAATGACTCCAAATTTTTGCATCAGATCTGCCCATGAAGAATTAGATCTCGTTTTTCTGGCATTCTCAGATGTTTCATTATGGGTTGTGAAATCAAGTGATTCTCTCTAAAAAAAAATTGAAATTAGCTTGTAGATGCATTCCATCAGTTGCACTAATCTCTTAATTCTGGGAGTATTTTGTGTGGAACCACTTGGAAGCATGTTTCTTATTGATTTCAGATTCCATTCATGCTATAAGTACCCATATTGGGAATCATAAATTCAGATTGTGCCTGCTGTAGTTGGTAAATTTCTGCTTGGAGAATCTTGAATATCTCTCTAAAAGTATGTTGCTTTGGCATTGGGAAGATCGTTATATTGATATTTTTGGCATTTCCTCCATGGGCTTTCTGCCAGGACTTGAGAAAAGTTTGTCATACCGAATAATTTTTTTTAACGAGTTTTCACTGTGATACACTTTTTCACAGGTCCCTGGGAGGTTGTTTTAACGAGATATTATTCACAAACTTGGTTAGAATAGCTAAGGTTAGGTTATATTATTTCAATACAAGAGGCGACACCTGTCTGATATTACAGAAAGTCAGGATGGATTTAATGTTGAGGAAATAATCCTTAAATGTCAAATGAACGCCTTTTTTTTTTAAATTTTCGATAATGTTCGTTGAATGCAAATAATCGACAGGATTGCCGGGAATTCTTCGGACCGTCGACGAAGCGTCTACATGCGGAACCAGTGGGCGTTTCCGTTCTCGTTCAATGGCCGGAACTTGAACCCGAGTTTCTTCCGGGAAAACGAAGCCCAGACCCACCGAATTCTTGCCTGGCTGAACCGGGAACTCGTTGCCATTCGCTCGATTGGGATACGGAATTTACCCTTGCGATACGATCCCGTGATCTCTGTCACTTCCGAGGAGATGGATTCCCTGGGGGATTTGCTCCGCCGCTTTCATCTGTTGTCTGCGGAAATGTTGTCGCATTTGGCTCGGTTTGTGGGGACCCGATTGGCTAGGCACTTTTTGCACGAGTTATACGTGTTTGCGGATTCGAGGTTCACGTTGGCGCAGTATGACAGACAGGTGGATTACTCGAGGACGAGTGAAGCCTATCGCCTGTGAGAATTTTGCCGATTTCTTCGAATTATATACGAGCTCCTCGAATTTATTTTTGCTCATACTGTTCTTGGAAAATTGAAAACTTTGGAATAAGAGCCTGGAAAAGAAAGATTGCGGTTTAACCTCGAATATTCAGGTTTCTTGTTGAAATAATTTTAAAAGGATAATTAGATTGTTGAATTTAATATGCATCAGGTTGATACACAATAAAATATCCTGGGAATCTAAATTTTTTTTTTTCTTTTCGGGTGAAGCTACAAGGCTTACTTTATTGCTGTATATATCAGCCGCACATTTTCTTGTTTTGCTCATTTCGTTCATGAATTCAGAAATGGTTTCTATTCTTTGCAGGTCGCAAGTNGTTGCCATTCGCTCGATTGGGATACGGAATTTACCCTTGCGATACGATCCCGTGATCTCTGTCACTTCCGAGGAGATGGATTCCCTGGGGGATTTGCTCCGCCGCTTTCATCTGTTGTCTGCGGAAATGTTGTCGCATTTGGCTCGGTTTGTGGGGACCCGATTGGCTAGGCACTTTTTGCACGAGTTATACGTGTTTGCGGATTCGAGGTTCACGTTGGCGCAGTATGACAGACAGGTGGATTACTCGAGGACGAGTGAAGCCTATCGCCTGTGAGAATTTTGCCGATTTCTTCGAATTATATACGAGCTCCTCGAATTTATTTTTGCTCATACTGTTCTTGGAAAATTGAAAACTTTGGAATAAGAGCCTGGAAAAGAAAGATTGCGGTTTAACCTCGAATATTCAGGTTTCTTGTTGAAATAATTTTAAAAGGATAATTAGATTGTTGAATTTAATATGCATCAGGTTGATACACAATAAAATATCCTGGGAATCTAAATTTTTTTTTTTCTTTTCGGGTGAAGCTACAAGGCTTACTTTATTGCTGTATATATCAGCCGCACATTTTCTTGTTTTGCTCATTTCGTTCATGAATTCAGAAATGGTTTCTATTCTTTGCAGGTCGCAAGTCCACCTTATCGGTCCTATGATTCCTGAACAAGAGCGTGAGTCTGACTTATTTCTATTTCTGAAAACAATAGAATACCAGGATTGGGAACCAGGTACTGTATTTACTCAAGAATCACCCACCCTCATGTAAAATGGGCACCTGGATTTTCCGGCCTAAAATGTTGATGAAAATCCTATCCCCAATTAAGACACGTACTCTATTTTTAGGGACTGAAAAAGGGCAATAGTTAGAAAAATATGAGGAACCACAGTTTGAATTTCGACCTGGATTCAACCCTGAGTTCGATTTATTTTCAATCGTTCCCGTGGAAAATAATTTTTATTTAAAAATTGATCCAAAGATCCCAATATAATCAAGTACTGTATCATGCGCACCTGAACTTCTAAACAAATTTTAAAATTGGATCCCTGTCTTATCACCCGCAGCCTCCTAGTTTTTTTTCAAGTTTGAGAAAATTGGTGTTTGTGGTGCTCTAGTTGTCTAGTGAATACAATAATTAGCTTTTCTTCCTCTGTTTTTTCCTAGCATTGATTTTAATTTCGCGAAAGTACCCTTTTTGGCACAAGCTTAACATTTCATGAACGCAAAACAGATCAGAGTGGACCATGAAACAAAGAATTTCTTTTTAAAAATTTAAAATACTTTTATACAGTGAGACCCCCATATGCAGATACCTTGACATGTGGACAATTTGACATAGGGACACTTATTTTCCCATAAAAAGTATTAAAAAAGGCCTGATATGAAGAAACTGACTCAGCATAGGGACATTTTGTGATAAATTGCAAATACGTTCTAGGCAAAATTACAACAAACAGATATTTCCAACCCTAAAATTGATGTAAGAAAAGTTCTTTGGCATTTATCTCACCAATTTACTATTTATTTAGCTAATTTTAAAAAATTATCTCCAGCATAGAGGGACTTATTCCTTCTCTATTTTTCACTCCAAGGTTATTTTTTTTACAGAGAATGCCAACATTTCTATGTACTGTACACAGGTATCAGTATTCAATTCCCCAAATGTCCAAATTGTGTTGAAATATATTGATTGAATCAGTTTTAATTTGGAAGACAATCTTTATTTTCATGGAATTATGGTGAGTATTTTGTGCATAAAACATCAATTAAAAATTATATAATGTAAGTCTAAGGGAAAATGAGACTCAACTTAGGGACACTCTTGATGCACCGCATGCGTCTGCATCTTGGGGTCTCACTGTATCTGCTCCCTTTTTTCCTCTTAATTTTGAGAAAAAGGTGCGTGCAGAACTGGAGTAAGTGCAGGTTTTTTTTTTTATCTGAGAAGTGGTGGATATTTGTTAAATGAGAAGTTATTCTGGAATGAAATTCAATTTTTTGAAATTGAATTGAATTATTTTTGCAGCACCAGCTATGAGGTGACGATCTCACGCACTTTTAACTCAAATTTAGATGCTGAATCGTTTTTGTTATTCTGCAGTGAACAGATCCTCGAGGCCACTCTTTGGCCGTATTGTGAGCGTTCTAAGCGCGCTGTCGAACATCCGTCGAGTCCCACCTGTGCGATCGACACTCGTAATTGACGACGACGATGACGACTTCTTCATCCTCGACGACGACGACGAAGAAGAAGTGCAAGTGATTGAGCCCAACTCGAACGCGTCATCGTCATCAATGACGAGGAGACGCCGGAGTCCGGTCGAAACTCGCGTTCCCGGTGTGCAAACGCGGTCTCGGACGCGACGGCCGGAAGTGATAACCATTGACGACGACGAAGATGACGGGATACTGGTGGAAGAAACGGGTGTCGGTGACGTTGACGACGACGACGACGATGACGATGATGATGTGATCATGGTGCAGACGGTGGAGACAGTTGATGTTGATGCGAGCGGGGAAAGGGAGCGGTTTTTCGAGTGGAAGCGGAAACGGGCTGCCAGTCATAGTACTGGCAGCAGCAGCAGTGGTAGCACTAGGAGCAGTGGTGGTGGCAGTAGTAGTGCTGCTGCTGCGTCTTCGTCGTCACTGTCGAGACGGAAACCCCGAAAGGAGCGCACCAAGAAGACGAAGAAGCGGGGGAATACTCGGGTGTGAATGTTTTTCTAAGCTTTGAAGAAGATGATCTATATATTTTTTCGTCTCCTGGTGAAGTAGAAGAGTTTAAAATACTGTACTCCGTTTGCAAAAAAAAATTCGGGACTACGCGTGTTTGAAAAAGAGCCCGTGCACAAAACAGCAGAACTGTTCGAGAGATTCTGTTCCAATTGGTTTCTGTGTGAGGCAATCGATGCAGTTTGGTTGGAACAGGTCAGGGTACCTCGAATTATTTTCTGGCAAGGTATCTGGAAGAATCAAAAAAGGATTTAATATTTCTTCAAATTTTAATCCAAATCGATTCGCGTGTTTTTTTTTTCTGACGCCCCTTTTTCATTGATTGTCCTTAATTATACTTTACTTGTTTTCTTTTCTGAAATCTGCTGTTTTGGGACACGCTTAAATGTTTCGACAGCTGTGAGAAGTTCACTCTCATTGCGATTCGGAATGATGACTGGTGGGAAGATCTTTTGTGTGCTTCCTTTTCGATTTCTTTTATTTTTATTTTTTCGCAGATAACAATCAATTTTTTGTTTGCATTTGGCGTTGCTCAAGTTTTCGGATGACGCGTCACGATTTTTTACTCGAGCTAAGGTTTGGATCTCAGTTTGAGGTGTGTCGATTTTGATTCTTAAATCGGAGCCGTGGGTTTTGAGCAAATGGCTTCGACCGAGAGAGTTTTCGATCGAATTCCATTTTAAAGAACGTTTTAAGGTGTGAGTGGTATTTTTGTGATGATTAATTTTTTTCTTTTGCCCGATGAATCCAAAAATGCTCTGAATTTTTCTTGAGAGTTTGCGTTGTCTGCGCTTTGACCCAGTTTGCTTTCTTTTGGATACGCTTCCAGGGTTTTGCGTCCGAATAAGGTGTCCTTTCTCATTTGTGTCAAAATTTTTTTTGAATTGATTAAGTAATCAGGAAGTTGATTCCGAAATGCGAGAAGGGGGTTACTTGAAAGTTCTTGCCTGCTTACTGAGAAACTGTCATTTGGAGGAGGATGTGACCTGATTATCTGTTTTCAATGACTAATTACATTCCAAAATAGATCGCGAGGAATGGAGCTGAAGAATGATTCAAATTTCTTAACAATTCTTCTGTCAATTCATAAAATATTTCAGAAAATTAACGAAGTTATCAAAGGATGGAGCTCCACGCTTGCCATCTCTCGCCAGATTTAACTGAAAAATTTCGTTTGGTGATGATGGCCCCAGTGATTCTTTGCTGATAGACCTGTGAAAAACTGCCAACTAAAGTAGGACTCCCAATTATCTTAGCTTGAGCTAATCTGCGTGAATTTGAGCGAATTGTGATTGATTGAGTTGAAACAGATCAAGGCTCTAAATGGTGTCTTGTTATTTTAGACTTTTACAACTCAATTTCCGTCTGATTGACTTTTCATCTGGAATATGTATAATTTAATTTTGATTAAATCATATCTCCAAGGATGAGAAACTGCAATATTTCAGAAATACGGATGTCTGAATTTTTACTTTGGACATGAATCAAACCCGAATTCAACTAATTGACTATTGTTTCCATAAAAAGTCTTGAAACTGAGCCACAATTTCCCATTTGAGTCATGCATGATGTACAACTGAACTACTAAAATTTGTATACCCACCTAGACCATGCACCCTACATTTTTCCTTTCTATTTTGAGATAAAAAAGGTGCATATGTTACTGGAGTAAATATGACATATTGTCTGAATGTGGAGTAAATTTTTGCCTGTTGACAATATTTTTCAGCATAAGATTATCCCTGATGATTGATTATCCAGACACATGCACACAGTCATCAGTCCACATAATTGGGAGTTTTACTGTGTTGACCAAAATATTTTCACTAAAGAATTATGAAATTAAAGGGAGATAATTCAAAGGAATCTTGAAGATGATTATTTTATTAGGTTCATGCTACTTTCTGTTGAGATAATTTTCAATGAATTGAAATAAATGGATTGCCAGGCTTCATCTGCTTGCAATGACAATTTTCTTCACACTAGTGGGACTTATGAATTACTTCAAGTATTTTTGTGCTTTTTTATGTTTAATTCCCTCTTTGCTGCCAAGAACGAATTGGTTCAGGTTGAAGGGATTTGATGCAGGACTGGGGATCTCTTGGAAGGCTCGCAATAATGCAGTGATTTTTTTTTTCCTTGCGAAGTGAACTGATTCATTGACCACTTCGGACTTGGGATGCACTTTTTTTTGGAAATGCTGTACTAAAGAAAATGGTAACTCGTTTTTCAACATTGTAGTTAATTTAGTTATGTTTGTTTTGTTTCCAAAGGTACGTGGAGAGTGTGAAATTTTGTTTATGCGCGATGGGGCACGGCCATGGTGCGAATATCCCAAAAGTGCCGGATTACAAAGCCTTTGTTGTAGGAGATCACACGCCTGATCTCAGAGTGTTGCAGAGCCGTCTTGCCATGCATGGACTGAAGGATCCGTGGATAAGGTGAGTTTTTTCTTTAAATTCAAAAGTTGAAAAATTTTGGGATGAACCATGGAGAAATTTTGAACAATTTTAATGTATAAGTGAGTTGAAGCTCATCAAATTAGGGTACTTTCCTGTTATCTCAGTACCTCATTCCTAGACCGCACTACCACCCAGACAAATCTTTAGGACCAGTTCATAACCACAACAACCTACCAGAAACTGTGAATTTTATTTTTTTTGCATTCTGCTGAAACTGATTTTTGGAGGTGGTTAGGTAAAGTCAGGTTAGGCCAGGTTATGTTAGTTACAAATAAGAAAATTAATTGTATTGGACTGGATTGGATTGAAATGGATTGGCGGACCCAAAATCAGTTTCAGCAGAAACCCAAAGAAAGCAGAAACTGATTTTGGGAGGAAGTTAGGTTAGGTCAGGTTAAATTGGTCAGAGGGAAGGTACCAAGATAACAGAAAAGGAGGTACTGAGATAACAGGAAAGTAACCAAATTAGTTTCCCAATGTCTGATTTTCATCACTTTTACTCTGTTGGTACAGTTGGACCTTTGCTGACTTGAACCTGCTCAAGTTTTAAACTTAATGTTAAATTTGTGTGTCCCCTGAAGGTTAGTGTACTCATTAAATTGACTTGCCAGTGTCAATTTTATGACTCTTGATCTGTTGGTACAGTTGGACCTTGCTAACTTGAACCTCCAAATTTGTTTGTCCCTAAGTATTGATTTACTCATCAAATTGCCTTCCCAGTGTCTGATTTTCTGACTCTTGATTTGTTGGCACAGTTGAACCCTGCTAACTTGAACCTCCTGAAGTTTAAAACCTTGTTTATTTGTTTGTCCCCTAAAGGTTAATGCACTCACCAAATTACCTTCCGAGTGCTCTTACTCTGTTGGTACAGTTGAACCTTGCTAATTTGAAGCTGCTTAAATTTGAAACCTTTCAGTGCTAAATTTGTTTCCACTGTGAAGTTTAATGTAAATCTCTCAAACCTTGAAACTTTACCCTTCAAGCCTGTGTAACTTAAATTTCTGGGGACCCTCAGTCTACAATTCCAGGGACCAAAGAAGAAGAGCAAAAAAGTATAATTTGATGCTTTTCAAGTGGAAGTGAGAGACAAATTGGGCAAAAGTACCCTTGCCTCCAAGTCCAGCATCCTATCAACTCATGTCTCCAGAAGTTTAATGCCCAGAATCATCACCCATTTCACCTTTCTGTGATTCTCATTTCTTCCCCAGCAAAATTGAGTGGTTTCACTAAACTCAAGCAACTCTCAAAAGTTGAATTTTAGTGGTTTCCTCTTAGTTTGACTTGAAAAGGTTTGACTGACCCCCATGACCAATGAAAGAAAAGCATTGTTGAAATTGACAAATCATGTATGTTTAAAATGTAAAAGACTGAAATTTTTACCAGTGAACTAAAAAAAAAAGTTTAAAAAGGAAGTTTTAACAACTTGAGATTCTCTAGGTTGGTGAACTGTAAATCCTGTTGTTTACTCATTCACTACTTATTCGCAAAATAACCATAGATTTAACGTGTACAAAGTTGAAACCAAATTTTAAAGACTTTCGTAAGGACAGTTACGAGCCATTTTTAAAAATAATTTGCTGAACTTCAGAAGATGCTTATATGTGAATCAATTTAAATGACTTGGTGGTTCTTCAATCAAATAATTTTTTTATAAAAAAAAAAGTATTCTCCATCCCTGAAAAGTTGTAAATTTTGTTTTGCGCAGGAATGAAGTCTTCAGATTTGATATCACCAACTATGGTGACCTCAGACAAAAGAGGAAATCGGTCTACTTGAGAGGAATGAGAACTGGTTTCATCCTTGCCGGTGTCACAGTTGCCCTGGAATACATTTTCGGGGCCAGTGGTGGTCATCATTGAAGCCTTGGGCTGCTGTGTTGGATCCTGGAGGTGCAATTCTTGGTTCATGGTTTAGTTGTGTACCAAAACCTTGTATTTAGCTGTTTCCTGATGGGGAGTAAATCACGTGTTGTACACATCGTCTTTCCAGTTCTTGGTGGATATTTACATCTTCAATTCAGGTTAGATCTTTTTTTTTTTAAGTTGGGTGTAGTTGAAAAGTCTTGGTGGCTCCTGAGGAAGATGATTTGTGTGAAATGTGAAAAGAGATTTTCTTGTTGCTCTGGGTACATGGTTCTCTCTGCTGGAATAACAGGCAGTTTTTGTTATTGTACAGTACTGTACTGTGAGTCTCTGCATAACTAGGCTTATCCAACCCAGGATGTGTTTTGTTATGGGGGAACTTCTGTAAAGCAAAACAAAAATTCCCTCAAGGTTNTGGTTCTCTCTGCTGGAATAACAGGCAGTTTTTGTTATTGTACAGTACTGTACTGTGAGTCTCTGCATAACTAGGCTTATCCAACCCAGGATGTGTTTTGTTATGGGGGAACTTCTGTAAAGCAAAACAAAAATTCCCTCAAGGTTACTTTGTAAATTACTCAGTAGTTTGTTCCAAACACACACCAAAGCACCATAATATTCTTTGGGAAATGTGTATATTTCCTAGGCTTTGGCTTGACATTTTGAATTTAAAATGGATTCCTGGAGTTCTGAACTGTGGCAATCCTGTCAAGTCTGTGCTTGCTACTTTCTAAATTTCACAAATTTCAAAGACAAGAGAAGGCAAAACCTGACCTTTTTCTCATTCTCTTTCACAGTTTTGAAAGATTCAAAAGTTTTAGCACAAAACTTGCTGAGGTTTCAGCATTCTTAGGCCAAAATTTGTGTTATGCAAACTCTTGCTGATACTTGATGCACTTTATTATTTCTACAAATTTTTATGTGAATTATTTTGGTACAGTATTACAAAACACCCTAGAGGATAGGAGTCCCTGCTGAACAAGAACTTTTACAATGCAACAATTTTTTCACTTGAAACTTTCACTTGTCCTAATTTAACAACATGTAGAATCTTGTATTAACAAGCCAGTTGAACCTGAAACAATTACTTTTTATGAAAGACTTGAAGTTTTTTTTATTGAGATTATCTTGGAGAGATTATCAAAAAGGAATTTATGATGATATTGATAGTAGCGGAGTTACTCATGTCATGCTTCTCCTTTTCCTCATAATATGTTTCAGTTTTGA